TTTTAAATTGATATGTATGGGAAAAATTGTTTCGTTTAACGAGTGTTTCGCTTAACGGGTAAGAGTCTGGAACGAATTAAACTCGTTATGAGAAGTTCCACTGTACTTTCTTCGGTTTTGCACTGGGAAATCTAGAGGGGTGACACTGTGAGTTCACACCATTGACATTGATACACATATCCTAGTGATGCCGCTGATAAAGTTGGCGATTATGCGAAAATGACTACAACATGTCGGGTGCGTTTGACAGAAGTAGTGATGTAAGACGAACAATGTTTAGTAAAAAGTAACAGGCTTTTATTATAATTTATTATACCCAAAATTTTCATTTTTTACATATTTATCGTTTGGATAGATTTACCTCGGTTACCGACACCCACCCAATCAATAATCTGATTTTTTTATTATAATTACGTCAATTACGTCTCACAGAGCTACACATTTCCACCTAGAAATCCCTAAACTGTTTTACTAAAGGCCATGGGCGCCCGCAGGTAGGGGCAAGGGGGGCACTTGCCCCCCCCCTACTGGATTGATTGGATAAAAAATTTTTTAGACAAAAAATGTATTAAAGTAAAGAGAAAATAAAGAGAAAGTAACTAAGCTGATGTCCTGTCCGTTCGTTCACCATACAAATGCGCTACAGTAAATTAAAACTATATTAAAACATTACTAAAAAAATTTTGCCCCCCCCCCTGGAAAGTTAATCGATTTTTTTTGCCCCCCCCCCTAGAAAGTTTTCTGCGGGCGCCCATGCTAAAGGCCTATGGCCTATCCTATTAGGTACATCCACGAACGAAATTTTTTTTTATTTTCGGGGAGAAAAGATCGCTTGGGTTGGTTCCGGTTCGTTTACCGTCTAGTTGGAGTTGGTTTATTACTATGGATAGCGAGGCTGAAAAAGTTTTTGACTCAATGAAGGTAAAGGATTTGAAATCACACCTTCAATCTAAAGGTCAATTACTTAGCGGGAAAAAGGATGATTTGATAAAGAGAGCAAAAGGGACTCATCGCTAGTTCGAGAACACAAATTTTGCGTGTAAGTATAAAACATGGCATAGTCAATCATAGTCAACTGGTAGAATTATTTTTTTTTGATTCCATTCATTTTTTTTTAGTACGTGACATAAACTGCAACGGCTTGATTAATAGTACTACTAATTAATATGCCTAATGCTAAATTTAAGTATATAGTCTGAATAATATAGATAAGATATTAAGCTATGTTTTTACATGTTACACGGCCTGACACTAGTACTAGTTTCGCTAACACTAATTTTACTAATACTAGTAAAATAAACTATTAATTGATAAATTATCAATTTAAGCAGACCTATCAGTATGAATATTAGCATTATGCTAACAAAATCTACAGGCTAAGTTGTATAAATACAAATGACTAATAGTATTAGTAGTAACTATTAACTAGTCTATGCTTTATTACGCTATAGCTTAGTGACTTTTTAGGCTGTAAACTTTAACAAACATTATTTGCAAGTTGATTCTAGTTAAAAATAATTAAACAATTCACGAGACATGTGTCTAACCATGTGATTTTGTTTAGATCAAGACTTTACAGTGCAGAAGCAAGATTTGGTTGGTGTGGAATATTTCCATGTTGCATCACTGCAAAATTGGATGGACGTGGAAGATGTGATCATGTCAGAGTGGCCTAACATAACAGAGAAAGAACTGTTAAATTATATGGTGTGCAGCAGAGAAATTGATTATACTACTAGGTATGAAAAACATTTTCTTTAAAAAAATATTTTAACCAATTTTAATAATGACGCAAGTAGATCCTAAAAATGTGTTAAAACCAAATTGTGACATTTTAAATATTTGGGACACTTCCATGTTTAAAATATAAAACGCAATTTGAAATTTTTAATGTTATCCGTACTTATTTCAGTGGATGAGACTTACACCATCCTTCGAGATAGATATCAGCACAAGGGAAAAGGTAGACCTAAAGGCCTGCCAAAAGAGATTGTCGCAAACAACAGGATACTAGTGCAGTTATCATACATCAGAGAAGAAGGAAATCATCCATGGTCACAGGCAAGTAATTTCAGCATTAGCAATTGATAACAATTACACCAAGTGCTGCATGCTATGTAAGATGGTATGTATGATAGGCTCTGTGGTAGTATATTTGAAATACCAGTTGTTAACAAATTCTCCTTATTCCCAGGTTGCAGATGAATGGATTGCAGACATTTTTCCAGACTCCAGATTGATGAAAGGATCCCTTACTCGTTTTCTTAACCTGATAAATGCTGCTAGGAGTTCATTTATGACATTGCAACCCAACCTCAGGGAGGACTTCCTCAACAAGGAAATTGACTTAAATTTTATTTCTCAGGCTTGTTCTAGTGTGGGCATAACACGCATGAATTATTCAACTCCTCTTGGTAAAACTTTTGATCCTCCTGTAAAAATCTTAAATGGCTTAGTTTTAACCTGTTACTTTTTAGCAATTCCCAGTCCTTGAGTAAAAAGTTGCTGAGTATAGAAAAGTTACCATACGCCATTGAACCTTTTAAAAGGTACACTATTTTAAATAAAATGGCACACAGGAATCCTGCAGCCTTGAAAGAATATATTGAATCTGAATTTACTTTGACTGCAATACAAAGTTTTCCAGATGGCAATAAGTGGCAGAACCTGGTGTGATTTTGTTATCTGGACAACAAAGGGCATTTCAGTAGAACGTATACATTTTGACAGAAATTTGTGGAATGTAATGTTAAAATGTCTGAAAGAATTTTACATTTTATATATTATTCCTGAAATTATTACTGAAAGAATTAAACGTCAGAAACTTCTATATTAACTGAACAATTCAAAATGTAAACATAAACTTCACAATTTTTTTAAAAAGTATCAAGTGAACCGATAGATAGATAAGTTTTTCCATGATGTTTTATTGGGCAATTTTATTTTCAAATGGAATAAATATGTACACATTTTTACAAGTAAATATTATATATAGCTACCTGATACTGGTATGTTATCTTTTCATAAAAAGATTTTTCATAAAAATATTTAAATGCCAGGTACCTTATTTATTTATTAGAAAATGTCAATACTGTTGAATACCGGTACTACTTCAGTTGTTTGTTTCATATTTAAATGTATGTACAACTTCATTAGGGGTAACCCCGACTAGGGCCTTCCATGTCATGTGAGACTTGTAATTACTATACATTAATAATTTATGCTGCAAAGATTCTGGACTTTGAGCTTCCAATTCAGTGCAGTCAATTATTATTCTAGTATTGGAGAAATAATTCTTAAAATTTTGTGGCAAAGTGTTTGCTATCTGCTCTTTTGTAGGCCAATAAATAAGACAAGACAATTTGCTGTAGAGCAAACAGACCCACTTTGAAAAAGCCCTAGAAGCTGTTGCTTTTGAAATGCTGAATCTAAATGCCAAGTCAAACATTGGCAACCCCATTTTCAGTCTAATAAGTGTTAGTAAAAACTCATCAACTGGTCTCATAACCCTTTTCCTATCTTTAAGATTACCGAGATGAGACATACATTCATCAAAAATTGCATTAAAAACCGCAGCATTGGGATACTAGTGTATAACCTAAATACCTCCTTTAATAAATGTTCTGGCCTTAAAGGTGCATAAAAGCCATAGTCTTCTGTTTGCATACTTACATTGTATGTTAAAACATCAGTTTGCATTGACACATCTAATTTATTTATGTGTGATTGTGTTTCAGCATTAGATATGTACTGACAAAAAGTTTTAGTATCTATTTTACCACAATAATCATGTAACATAACAGATACTCCTTGTATTGTTGATATAGCCTGATTAATAAAAAAAGTTTCTTTTTGAGTTGCCTTCTCTGCTGTTGCCTCTTCGACATGCTGAGTCTGTGAACATTAAAGAAAATGTCAATACTTTTGAATACCGGTGCTACTTCAATGTGTTTGATTTATAAAATTTCAATTCTATTTCAAAGTTAAATAAAATCCATGAATGTTCATATTGTCTTATTAAAATATCAATTCTATTTCAATGTGTTCTCTCAAATAAAATTCATGAATGTTCATATTGTCAAATTAAGTTACACAACGTTCTGCATTAATTAAAAAAATATTTAAACTTGCAACCAAATGAATTTTTTTTTTTTTTTTAAACTTACATGTACTGTTGTTTTGTATGTTCGGTTAGCAAACACCGAAGGTATGTCATCACCAGGCTAGGGTCCTTTTTTCCATAGAAAATGCTCTGAACACACTCTTGTGTTGCCTAAAACAGAAATGAGACTGCATAGTATGAGTATGGTATATTTTAACCTATGCCTATTACTACTATTGGGTTCCTGAAAATTTAATATACATTATACTATAGTTTTCAACTCTCATACACTATACCAGCTTAACTTGATAGTTTCATTAATATATATACAAATAGGCTGCCTATATATAATATTTTTTTTTTTAGTTGCTTAAAATTAAAACAAAAGTGCTTACACTTATCACTTACCTCTTCCTTTAAGTTGCCCTGGTTTTAAATCTTTGCGAACAAGCTGTAATCTAGAACACCAAATTCTTGAAAGTGTTTTTGCTCTAGGGATTCGATGCATAGTAACTTTTCTACCTTCAACGATTTTTACCAGCGTAATTGGAGCACACAATACAATAATTTTTGTTACCAGTCATATTTGTTTTCTTTGTGTTTGAATACCGACTTAGTAACACTAACAACAGTTATTTTAGTCTAAAATAGACACATTAAATCATAATTGACGAAGTCTAGTAAAATGGGGAAACAAAAGAACTGTGGTATTAATGGTAATATATGCCTATTCCATAGTTATACATTTAATTAGTAAGATAGTATATGCAACTTTTGTAACCAAACTAAGAGTTAGACAAAATAAAGCAACACTGTTGGAAACCGGAACCAACCCATTCAGAAAAAGTGGGCGTTTTCAAAGGGCACGCTACTCTGTTTTACAAAAATTTGAACGTAGCCCATATACTATATTTTTATGATAAAAAAAAAAAAATAGGTAGGATCATAATATTATTATTATTAAATACTTGAAAAAATAATATATCTCCCTCTCTCTCTCCCTCTCTCTGTGTCTTTCTAACGCTAATAGTTTATAACCATTTATCTACATGTATTATATGCAATCTTAGTTTAATCTTAGTTATTTAAAAAAAATATTAGTAATTTAGCTGTTTACTTTTAACTTTTAAGGTAATCTTTTTTATTTTTTTACAGGGATTTTAAAATCTCGGAATCAAACATTTCCTTTTTCAAATTCATAACAAGATGGCTATGAAAGTGAAACTAAAAAGTATGGATTTGAATTATAGGCTTACTTTTATTAGCCTTGTTAATTTTATTTATTACTATTAGCTAGTACTAGTTTCCAGCCAAAGTTATTACGTTTTAGTTTTCATATCACTGTAACTATGTATAGGCCTACCCAACCCCAGTATAATTAATATTATTAATATTATTACGACCGAAGTGGCAATTCGGAAGTGAGAGAAAATCAGAAAGGTTGGGTTTATTAACAAAAAAAAGTAAAATATTATTGTTGGGTTTGTAAGACAAAATTTTGTATAAAATGAAAGATAATTGAATTGACTATGCCTTTGTAAACTTACTTCTTCAGTTTGACTAAAGTAAACTACCACAAATGAGTCAAATGACACCCCAATCATAGTCATAGTCATAGCATTTTGATTTAGTTTTAGTTTTTATTAGTCTAAATTAATAAAGTATTTAAAGTGTAGGGACATTTCGGGCCTGGGTCCTTTTAGTTTTAGAAAAGTCTACCACTCCACCTTTTAACACACACACACACAATTCTTAATAAAATCATTTTTTTAATTCTAAACTTCATTATTGATTGCATTTTATTTATTTTATAGATTGATGACCAATGTTCCCTCTAAGGTTTATTGGTTCTTGTGCAAAATCATACAGTTGTATGCAAAGTTTTACAGCATCAATTTTTTGGTGTACAAAATTTTATAACCCACAAACACAAACACACATTTACATGGAAATCGGCTGCGCGGATACTCAAAACTGCTGCGCGGCGTCTGTGAGTTAGCTACGCGGCAGCGCAGCCGTACAGCTTAAAGGGAACATTGTTGATAACTAGTTATTACTGGATCCTTCTTTTATTTAAATTTAAATAATTAAGACATATAAGTCAAGTCAAGTAGGCCTAAATTTATTTATTTCTTATATACTACTAGGTAGTATTAACATTTCATTAGTTTTATGCCATTCTCCTCTCAAAGATAACCAACGTTATTATGTCATGTAAATTTGTATCTGTTTTGTTATCTTTGTTTGCATTGTTTTTGTTTTTTTAATTTTAATTAATGTTAAAATGTTTATGTAATCCAAATTTGAGGTAGAATGTATTAAGTGAATTGAAATAATTCAATATGGCTTATATTTATATAACCTTTAATTTTAATATTCTCTCTTCCCTCAATCACTGTCTATTGCTGCAATTCAAAAAGGGTAAGTGCACTCAAACATTTTTTTTTATCAAGAAGGGTTGTTTTTTTTTAAATTGTAAACATTTATTGGAATTACTTTATATTTATTTTTAAACTAATGCAGAAGAATGAACCTTTCATAATGATCAAAATGTTAATTTAACATCTTGATTTTAAATGTCTAAAAGACTTGTATAATGTAACTGAGAAAGTCTCTTAATAAGTAAGTACAGTCGAACCTGTTTATGTCGATGGCCTCGGGGTTTGCCAAAAAGCGCAGAGATAACCGATGAACAAGATAACCAAAAACCAATACGGTGGCAATATATTAACATCTGCTTGAAATTTCTTTATGTACCCATGATGTGCATTTTTAAATTAGAATGTACATGGACATGTTTTTGGAGGGTTTCTTTTACACAACAGCGTTACGGAAATTTTTTTATGAAGCAATCGGCATGCTATATGCTATAAAAATGAAAATACATGTTTTGTAACAACACAAGGCATATTTTGGGTGCCACATTTCCGGATTATCCTGGAATTCCAGATTTCGTGAGGCTAAATATTTTTAAGCTCCGGATGTGCTAGTTTTTATTTTGTCTCCCTCCGGATTTGCCAGTTCAGTTTATTCAAATACGGATTCTGGGTTTTAAAAAGAATTAATGTGTAAGAACACGTGAAAGCCTATTAGCGACAAGGGGGTTTGCTATAAATAGAACAGATCCTTACGACCCTCTCTTTTGTTTGCAAGCCTCTCGCTTCTTGCTGTGTCAAGCTAATTGTCATTTCATTGCAATTACAACAGTTTGAACTAGGCACTTTTCTGTTGTATATAATTGTCAAAAGTCAGCGATTGGTCATGGGGATCAAGATAACCCAAGTTAAGTGGCAAATTTGGCAGCCTTTTGTGCTCGAGATATCAGGGTTCGGCGACATAAAAGAATCAACATAACTGAGGAAAAAATGCTTAGACAAAGAGAGAATTTGGCGGTTCAACTTCCAAAATATCGACATAATAGGGTTGGCTAGTAAACTAAGGTCGAGATAAGTGGGGTTGACTGTAGTGGTTTAGTAATCTGAATATTGTCCTTTAAAAACTTTCATCTTTAATGTGCTAAAAGTAAAAGAAACTAATATGATTATTTACAGGCATGCTCCACATTTATGTTAACTTTGTTTCCTTGAAAACTGATGTAAATTATAGCAATGACATTATTTATTGTTTAATTTTTATGTAAAAAAGGGGAAATGCATTGTTGTGATCTTGTTGTTATTATTTGACTTCTCTATACAAAAGTAAATGAATTAGTTACAAGTAGTTTTGTGAATAATCAAAATTTAGATTTTAGCTAGCTAGAAATTTGATCAAAGCAGTAAAAGATGTACGTTTGTTGGTATCTTAATGGATGAGAATGAGGGTTGCTTTTGGATGATATGAATAATGTATAAATCCTGAAAGTAAACAGCTTGAGAGGATAACTCTGATATAGCCAGGGTATAGCTGCATAGCCAATTTGGCGGTATGCAAAAAAAAAAGCAGAAGTGACCAAGTAATTTATTGATCTATTTGAAGAAATAAATATATAACATTAAGTAAACATTATAAATTTAGAGAAAGTATTGAAAAAAGAACAGAAATGTTTAGGACCAGGAAATAATCCCCCCCCCCCCCCGCCCCCTTTCTTCATATGTAAAGCTGGACTGGAGTGGCAGTCTGGAAGTGGATAGCCAATGATGATAATTGTGGGATATGTAGAATGGCTTTTGATGGCTGCTGCCCAGATTGTAAACTGCCAGGAGATGAATGTCCACTTGGTAAGTACAGTAACATTATTGTGGATTTAGAATTAAAGAAATGAAGAGCCAGTATAGCTAGTTATAGTTATATGTTGAATACTTTAAAACATTTTTTATAGTAAAAAAATATTGGGCTTTATCTATATATTTTTTCAATTGTTCAAGTTGACTTTATTACTGTGCTTGTCAATCTGCTAACAAAATAAATATTAAATATTTAGTTTTATTTATTTATAAACATAGTTTTTTTTGTTTTTATAAGTTCAGAAAAAATAGTGTTTTGTCACATTGTGATATATTGGATGTAAGGGAGCTTTAAAAATATAATCATCCCCATAATTCAAAGCCAAATATTGTGGATATTTTATTTAAAGATTTTTAGGTAAAAAGTTTTTGATTGTAAAATTTCAAAATTAATACATGAAATGAAAGATTTAAAATATTTAGCAAACAAAAACTTAATTCTTATTTGGCTTTGGGATTGATGACTTCAACATTGAGGTATTTTTAGTTAGACTTTCAGATCCTGCTTTGGGAAGAGACAAAAACACATCTAATAGTGCTTTAATAATTGATTAATGAAAAAGGTTATATATAATTTCGTCAGCTTTACAAACACTAGTAATGAGTATGACCAGCAGTTCATGTTCGAGTACAGTGGTTAAACTAGCATATATTCTAGTGTAAGTTGTAAAATTGATTTTGTTTCGAGTAGGACATTATTATTATTATTATCATTAGTGGTGGCTTTATATACCGCGATACCCCAGCATAGGGCTGGGCACACCACGCTGGACATAGAATTTAACAAACATAATCATGAACTTAAAAATTAACATACATTAATTAAATAAAACAAAATAAATGCATATTCACTCAACACATTCAAGAACTAATAACATGTCAAGCCATGGACGGCTACCCAGCAGCATCGTCAGAGGGGGGAATCAGTCAGGATAGTAGACTTTAAAGAGATATGTTTTGAGTGCAGTTCTGAAGGATGTGATGGTCGGTACATTGCGAAAGTGTATGGGAAGAAAATTCCATTGTTTGGGGGCACAGAAAGAGAACGATAGTAAAAAAGGAAATACAAATTATTTTATTTACTCACCAATATTGTTAATTAATTGTTAATCCAAAGTTTTACTATTAGGTGATTAGTGGTGTATGTTAGTGCTTGTGTGAAGCTTAGTAACTTGAAAATGATTCATTGTAGGAATTTTTAAGAGCATCTTTAGTTTCAGCTCTTGGGCAGTTCAGCAAATTGTAGATTTATAAGAAAAATGTCAAGCATCAGAATAGGTTACAACAAACTATGAAGGTTAAGTTCAAAGTAAGATGGAAAATCATACACAGATTTGAGACTGTCTAAGAACTTCTAAAAGTCTAATAATCACCACCACATTGAATGTATCTTCTTTAGAAGGGCCATAATGGATGGGTTGCTTTAATTTAAATGAATGTATTTTTGTTTCAGTTTGGGGACAGTGTTCACATGTGTTCCACATCCATTGCATAGTAAAATGGCTTCAGTCACAGACTGTCAGCTCACCTTGTCCCATGTGTCGCCAGGAATGGAAGTGGAAAGCTGGATAAAGTAAAACATTCTAAGCATTTCATTCAAACTATCTTGGTAAAAATAATTGTATTTAATGTTTTAATGTACAGTTCAGTTTGTACATTTGTTGATAAGACTTAGTCCATTCTACAATATGACACTATAATTTTTGGTAAAAAATGCCAAAGTTAACTATTTCTGTCACCAAGAATAATTTTAGTTAATTTAGGGTAATGAACTACTGTGCCCCAAGGGGATTAAAATTAAGTCGATTTAGGGAAATTAAAACTTTAAATATTTGATAGAGGTAATGTTTAAATTAAATTTTTATTACAAGTAATAGTTTCCCACCAATTCATAACACAGATTTTTTAAATTTAAATAATACTATTGGATGAGATGGTTGAAATTACTTGTATTTAACTTAATCCCATCATACAATTATCAAGTGTTAACTCTTTCTCATGGGATACAGAGAGTCATGAATGAACAGAGTGAAACTCAGTAGGTGCAACAATGTGGGGGGGTGGGTGTTAGTGAGTTTTGCATATGTAGAAATAGAAGGCCCCTAAATGTACATATATGTGCTTACTATCTCCCTCACTGATGAAGCAGACCTGATGTTTATGATTTTGTTCTTAATAGCATTGCAAATGATGATATTTTTTTTTCCATATTAATTTGTACTGGTGGGTAGCATGGAGTATGAGAAACAACCTAAGATAGTTTTGAGATAAAAACAATATTTTTGTTTATATTATATAGTGAGGTTAAATAGTTTCTAAATGTAAATATACTACAGTAGTTTGTGTTTAAAAAAATCTCCACAGACCTTAGATATTATTGTTCACTTTTGGTACTTGATACTGGAAAATATGTTCCAACTTAATTTTTATCATGTCTTATTTATGCCAGTACTTGGTTGCAGCAACGTAGTCAATCAGAATCAGAATTTAAATCACCAAAGAACAAAAAGTCTGCTATTATAAAAATCATTTTCAAAAAACTTTACATACAAAAATAATGCAAAAAAGAATGTCTTTTGAATAATTAGTTCTATGGGGACAAGATCATGCTGCTTAAATAATTGGGAATTTTGTACTGTAATCTTATTTAATTTGGAAAATAATTTTTTTTTTTTAAATGTTGAAATTGTTTCTATTTTTTGTTCATTTTTTTCCCCCAGAAACCTCCACTCTTAATTAATATCATTATCTATCATGTGTAAAACTAATACATTTCAATGCAATTATAGACCTTATATCGTGGTTACAATTATAATTATTAAATTAATTAGTTTCTTACATGAATGATAGGTTTTTAAAGTACTGTATCTTAACCAACCCAAGAAGCATCATTTTTTGCATATTCAAAAAGAAATTTTAGCTTACATGAACTTTGCAAATATGTTCTTTTTAAGTTGTTGTTTTTTCTAAATTAAAAGTTTCAGAAATAAGACTGTGTTATAAATTTGTCTAAACTAATTTATAATTATATACCAAGATAAGAATTTTAGCACTAATTTCAATTTTCTATTAATATTCTTTGAGCAGAGAAAGACTACATATAAAGTTTTAATTTATTTAATAACTGTCATCAACCAAAAAGCTTATGCAAGGGTGGGTCCAATGGGCCACTTGATATATGCAAATGGTAGACTCAGTTGAGTAGTGAGGATTTGAAATTATTTACATCAGAGGGAGGAAGAAATCTTTTAAACAATGGCTGGTGCTGCTCATAATACCATGCCTTATCCATCAAACTAAAGTCTTATTAAAGAATTTTTCTTTCATTATTTTTGGCATTCATACTTCTGCTAGAGGTATTTCTGGCAAAACTACGAAGCCTGGGTGAGGTTTTCTTCACGGAGAATAAACGGAATCCCAGTAAGCAGATCCACACTCTCCATGCAGCTGGAGACCATCCGAGACAGGGTTCTGAATTAACACAGTTTTATTAAATGCATTTAAAACTTTATTCTAAGTAGGGCTCCATGGCCTTCATATGACTGGAAAAGGCGTCCGGGGTAATCACCCATGAACTAAAATTATATTAAGAATCCGTGGTAACTTTTAGTACTCATGGCAACAGGGATTGCAGGAATGTTAGAATTTTCATTCATTCAATTTTTGGGTTTGCTCCAGTAACCTTTAGTCATGAGGTTGGTAGATGCAAGGCAACAGAGTTTGGTAGTAGGGGTTCTCCTTCTTTCAGTGGAAAGTTTCATAGTAGGGAATTGAATACTCATCATTTAAATGAAGATACTTCAGCTGCATAGTATAAAATCATTACTAAATGCCTTACTTTACTGCATTTGTTCTTTAAACTGGAGCATTAAATAAAAGGATGTCTGTCAATCTTAAACTACTCTAACATATACAATACGACACATAAAAGAAATGCATTTTGAGACATATTTAAAAATTCATTATAAAACTGTTTTAATGTTAAAATGAGGGATGACTTGATAATGTGAACTTACATGGGTGACACTGTCAATAGCAAGGCGTCATACAGCCAAAACAAGCACTAGCTAATCATAGTAAGTAATCATATTACAGGTAGAAGATAGCAGCTGGACACACGAGACCAATATATTTTCATTAACATTTAATGTGACCATTGAATAATTTGTATATTCAACAAGTCAGTTTTTCAAAATATCAAATTTTTCAATTTGCATGACTAAACCCTGAACTTTAATTATGCTGCCATTCTCCTACTATGGTATATTACTAAATGATGTACAAACTATTTAAATGTACCATTTTTCATAACATTTCCACAAATAAAAGCCGTGTTGATTAATAACAGACTTTCAAATAACATTTGCAATAAATAAATCAACCAAGGTGTTTTTGAAAAAGTGAAACATATTTTTCTCTTTCTTTTACCGGTACCATACCATGAAAATGTCAAAAATATTTCCTCAGCTAGAGAAATGTTTCAATGCTTGGCATTATTTTGTAGGTATTTTTATCTTCAATCTTGTTATCATTTAAAAACATTTAAAATTTGCACTTCAGTAGTAAAATATTTTTGATTCATTAAAATGTTAGTTATATCAGATCTTATTTGAACTAACTGTGGCTTTCAAAATGTATGAAATGCAATAAATATTAGATGTCATCTCACATACATAAACCAAAATGCATGTTTAAATAATGACTAGAAATTCCTAGACCAAAAAATATGTTAACTACATGTACATTCATTGAAATGCAAATGAAATAATTATATACAGTTGAAATTAAGAAAGATAAATTAAGAACAAAATACATATATATAGATAATACATTTTATCATAAATTTTATTACATCTTATTATCTGAATTTTATAAAGTTTAGCACAAATTTACCTGATACATTTTCATATTTGTGACTGGCATTTCATAAATATAATGTAAGTATCGGTATCATGATTGGGGTTATAGTTCTTTGCATACAATTTATATATTTAATTGGTGACTGCCATGCATTTTAAAAATTAAATTCTGTATGACTAACCAAGAAATTATGAACGGTGTACAATAAAAATATATTTCTTGACTTGAAATAAAATAATTTATTTTGAGATTGAGAAGAAATCTGCATTAATAATAAAATTCCTTTAGGGATCATTTTTATTGAAAAGTATAGTCTAATGCCAAAAATCTGAGTTTCAACAAACATTTAAGTCTTCAAAAGTTCAGAACCCCAAAATATATCTTTGTTGAATTAATCAGTGATTTTTTTTTCAATTTACTTTTTGTAGCATAAAATTTCTTTATTTTTAAGGTGTTTGAGATTGTAAATCAGTGAGTTAATAATATTGGGCTACTGATGATTTATTTCACAAACTTTATCAAGAAACCTATTACTCAATATTACCAATTTAATTAACACTACCAGTACTTGATTTTAGTATATTTTATTTAGTTTGCTCAAAGGAAATGAACTTATTTAATTTATAAAAATATTAAAAATAAAACTTAGTTCTGCTTCAATAATAAGGTTATTAACAGTACAAGGAAAGATACTTAATTAAACTAAAGAGAATTGAAAAACGATTTGTATGGGAAAAAATGTATGGTCCCAGAAAAAAGCCATTACATTGGTGCATTGTGTTCAAAGCTGAAATACTATATTTTGACTTGATTCAAATTTTTATCTGTTGGTAAACTATTTAAAAGTCCCTCCATGAATTAGAAAAACAAGTTTATGATACACCTTTGTATACTATGAGGCAGTCATGCTGAATAGCTTAAAATTGATTTATGTGACCCATTAATATCTGAAGTAATTATCATGCAATGGTATATTGAAAAATTAGAATGGGAACTGCTGTTATAAACTAGCGTGATAATAATACATGTTTTTTTAGTTTTTAGTTTTAACAACAGAATGGTGCATGTTGTTATCAAAAAAAATTTAGAAATCCATGTTTAATTTTAACATTTTCTACAGTAAATAATTTCAGCATTTATTGTTATAAGGCTTTCAATTTTTAGGAATTAATTCCTTGATAAGTAAACATTCTTATCATAAAGCACTGTCCAAATTATTTAAAAATTGTATCTAATAATATTTTGCATTTCAATTTTTTTAACAAATTCACTACCGCAACACTGTGCACACCTACAAGAATAAACCATAATAATATGAGGTGCGACTCTTAAGTGTAATATGTAATCAAGTTACTAAATAATATCATTTATGTTGTAGCATCATTAATCATAATCTCAAGCAGATACAATAAATAACATTTAACTAGCTAAAGGTTCTTAATCTGGCATCAAAAATACTTATTTGTCTATATTTTCTACAAAGAATTGTAAAGTAAATGTTTTATTCATATACCGGTATTATTTTTGCAGAAACATTCACATTCTTTCCTTTTTTTTTTTTTTATAGCCTGGAACCTTTATAAGAGTGGTGATGAAAACCCTTTCAAAATTTACATGATTTTGCAGAGACATAGTGGAGTTCTTTTTTTTAAATTGTAACGTGTTAGCTATATGACTTAGTAATTTTCCATTTAATTGTGCACAGATTTCAGAAAATGTCAATCAACTTTCAAACAGAGCATGCTTTAAGGCTTTAGAAACAATGTAACCCTAGTAATTAGGGTCATGCAAGGTAATTGGCACACAAATTTATTTTGAAAAAAAAAACCTAACACATTTAAATTGATCGAACATAAAAATAAATGAAGGCTTAACCTGCAATTATTTATTGAATATTATGGATCAGAAAATTTTCTGAAATAATATATTAAACTGTAAACTTTTTAAAGCTTAAAATACCAACGGACAATGTGTGTTAATTCAATGACGGAATATTTAACTAAGTACTTATTTACTTTTTGATGGGAGACAGTGTATCAAAACACAAAGATATAAAACAGTTGTAACAGAGTAACTATTCCACTTAAAAGAAACATTTCTATGCATTGTAAAACATATTTTTTGTCACACAACTTCCCTTTTCCCAAACCAATATCAATGACCTTGCAAAACAAAATCAGAAACAATTATAAATATTTAAAAAAATTACATCCCTTGAGAATATGCTTTTGAACAGCTCAAAATTAGAACTGCCAGTAGTAAATATATATTTTTTTTTTTTTTTTTGTTGTCAAAGGTTATATCAAAAAATCTAAATAATAAATAATGCTCAAAATTAGAACTGCCAGTAGTAAATATATATTTTTTTTTTTTTTTTGTAGTCAAAGGTTATATCAAACAATCTAAATAATAAATAACAACAGAAGAATTTCTAAGTGCTTGTGAAGAAAATGGGTTATGAAGTAAGTAAAAGAGGTATGATTTTTTTGTTTACCCTAGGACTATGAATTAACTTGGCACTTATGGATATGCATGATATTTTAAGAAATTTATAGAACAGCTTGAGTGTAGAAGTTGCCAAATTAAGGAAGTTTGATTTAGAATCTAAAGAGAATATTTGCCAATTTATAAAAACTTAAAAGGAAGAAACATGAGTGTAATGCTGAGATAAGTTGTTCCCATCCTTTCTTTACTTTTTAATTGAATGAGGTAGAAATGATAAAATAAATGGATGACATAAAATAAATGGATAACATGAAATAAATGGATGACTATTATTTGTTATCATTATATTTTGTTTAAACAACTGAAGCCTACTACTGTAATTGAATTTAACAATTCTAATTTTTTAAAGACACATGAAAAGGAAAAAAATGCCTGAAAAGTGTAAACAAGGATGGAAGCACATTCTAAATACATTCTTACAAAGAACACATCTGCATTTCTATATATCGTATGGTACATAGTATGAATGATAAATTTATAAAAAATTTGAATATGTATACATGATTCAAATATTTTCAGCTCAACAGTAACAATTAAAATCTTTTTAATATGTAGATAAACAAGATAATTTCTCTTAGATGTTGACCCAGTAACTGAAAACTTCCATTACTAAATACTTTCATTATGCAAACATTGTTGTTATCTATTATATCTGAAAATATTAGTTTCCTTAAAACGTTATGGAGT